AGGAATATAAATAATTAATTAACCTAACCCTACCTAACATAACCCCTTTTCCCTGCCCTCACAAACTCTCATCCCCTCACAAAAAGTTATCATCCGTGCAAAGACTGCAATGCAAATTGTGTAAATCACCTCTTCATCTAAAAAATTATTCTTCCTTTTCTTTTGAAGTATTCAATTGCTTTGCACAGATAACATGGTCCTGCTCGAGATCTCAATGATGAAGAAAATTATGTTGATCGCTAGGAGAAGGGCTCCCTCTCTGAATTTAATGCTTTTTTTTTTTTTTTAATGAGAACCCAATAGTTGTTCAATGATAATGAATATAATTTTTGAATACTAGTTATTTGGTTAAATTTATATATAAAAAAGGATTGGGGTTAGAAATTAAAGATAAGCAATCAATGGTGTTATTAATATAACCTCCCCCGTGACATATATATAAAATTGATTTGTATAAGAATTTTATTAGTATATATATTTTGTATTTATTGATTGGTTATTCGTGATATTAATTTTTTAATATAAAAATATATTTATTATTATTAAAAGCTTTATTTATCTTTAATATTTATTTATATTTAATTAATAGATCTAATATTTAATTAATGAGTCTAGAGTAAGATAAATTTTTTGTGAAAAAAACAATTTGTAAAACAATTTATAAAGTTATTATAATTATGATATTCTTATACATTAAAGTATTTTTTTTAATATTTCTTCTAAATATTATATTAAGATTAAACATTAATTGAAGTTATTAAAATTAATACATATTATATTATTTTTTAATAAAATAAAATAATTGTTCTTATAAGCCATTTATTCAAATAAAGTTTCATTTTCATTATTCATTCATTATTTATATATATATATATATATAGTTGTATAAAAATAATCGAGATATTATTTTTTACTTATCAAAACTCGGTTCTTCATATTAAAGCTTTTTCATGATTTGTAAAACAATTTTCATCTAAGAAGTAAAAAACAATATCTCGATTATTTTTATACAATTATAAAAAAATAATTCAAGTTTTATATATAATTATTTATGAAGTAATTATAAATATTATTAGAAAAGGCTTTCATCTTATATGAAAATTAGAACATAATTTGATACTTTTTAAAATCCTATAAAATCTTCATCAAACCACCTTTGTCAAAACAAACTAATATGCACCAACATCGATTTTTTTAGTCACTAAAATATTCGTTTGAAATCTTTCACTTTCCTCACTATTTTTATTTTTTCATAATTTGGTGAGAGCAGACACACAAGGGAGATGAAGAGAGGGAAGAAGAGAACGATGCAAAACAATAAAGAATAGTAATATAATGGCTAAAACTTGAAGAAAACTGAGAGGGGGGGTGCACATCCTAGGAATTTACAGATAATTACTACAGGAGGAACAAGAGCAAGAGAAATATAAGTCATTTACAAATATATATATATATATATAGAAAAGCTTCCTTTCCTCAACCCCACTTCAAAAGAAAGGGAGAACAATGCCAAATGAGGGAGCTATCAATATCTTGATCTTCGCATTAGGAAAGGACTTCTCAAAAAAAAAAAAAAACGGAAATGAAAGCAATTTTTGAAATTCAAGTTAAATGCCAGATATGAAACCGAAAATCACTACCAAAGAACAACTTCTTTAAAATCATTAAAAAGAACTCAAAATTATCATAGAAGCAACATTTCAAACATCTCCAAGGAAGACGACCAGCATTCCGTGGAAAAATCTATTAGGTGAGAAAGTCATTTGAGATGTTGCAGAGAATTATCCAGGAAGAAGTACAATAAAGCTACAAAACATCACCCTCCAAGTAGTGTTTGTAGCGGGATAGGTACTTCAAAGTTGAGAAAATTTGGATTTAAAGTTAATGAAAGTCTGGGAAACTAGGATTGAAAGGAATAAGTTTCCTTGGGCACTTGCAGGCTACAAATTAGACTGGCAACAACATAGTTTGGCGTTTAAGAACTCTTGGATGGTTTAATTTGATGGTAAAGGCTAGGGCGTTATGTTAGTTTTTACAGTTTAAGAATGGAGAAAATTTGAGTTTGAATAAACAAAGGAAGGAAAATGGAGTAATTTATCCTGAGGTACAGTGACAGCAGCATTTGGAAATCATGATCCCATTTGACGGAAGAACAAGCACAACTAGGGTTTTATGATGAACGGTTGATTATTGTAAGCAAAAATTGCGGACATGCTGGAAACTCAGCAGATAATTAAGAAAAAGGGTAATGCAAGAACGTTACAGCAGATTACAACTGAAGCACAAAACATATGGCAGATTCAAAGTAAGTAGTCTTGCCATATGCTGGTGGATTGGCAACGATGGCATCTGCCTTAAAAGGGATGCCTGAATCAATATCAGGTTCCCTGCAGGCAGGTAGCAATGAGTATATAATATCTTTTATTTGATTTTGTTCAATGGATATCTCAGAAGGCCCCGATGGCAAGAAGCCTTTATTTTTTTACCATGTCCAATTCAACTTTATTATAAAACAAAAAACAAAAAATAAAAATAAAAATAAAAAATAGTGCATCGCCATCTTAAAAAGGGTTAGATATGCTTAGACCTGCAAGATAAACTCACTCTAAAAGAAAAAAGAAAATAAGGTTCATGGCCATCTTGAAAAAAGGCGAGGTATGCTTAGACCTACCTACAGGATGAACTCACTCTTCTGGCCAAAAAAATAAAAAAAAATTGAAGAAAAAAATAAAAAAATGAAAAAAACTACAAATTAATAGAAGAGGACTATCTTAAAATTTTAAATGCTTGAGTTAATTTTAAGAAAAAAAAAAGAGAAAAAAAATATTATCATCTACAATCCATCGAAAACCAATTAACATGCATCGCCCTTGGAAAAAAAAGATGTCACAAAGAATTCAATAACATGTTGAAAGGAAGTTTTTTAATCGAAAAAGTTTGTTACATGTGCGGGGAAGCAGATGAACGCATGGATCATCTGCTTTTTTTTTTTTCTTTTTTTTTTTTTGCGGGGAAGCAGATGAACGCATGCATCATCTGCTTTTTTTTTTCTTTTTTTTTTTTATCAAATTGCTACATTGCTCCTAATACTAAATAACCACTACAAAAGTTTTTTATGAAATTACACAAAAATTACTGAAATTATGTTTTAAAATTTTTGATTTTAAAAGCAATTGTGTCGTAGTAGTTGTATTGTGTTTGGAAAAAGTAAAAAAATGAAAATCCCTTAGTCCAGCTTTTAATGGTATTCAATAATATTTTTTAAAAAATGAGCTACCCTTAACAACTATAGAATAACAAATAAACCCTATGAATCAAGGGCAAAAATATAAATTTATTATTTCAATCTATAATGAATTATACCTTTTTTATCTACTTTTAACAATCTATTAAATATTTTTGTTAACTAATAGTTTAATCATGTGTGATTATTGAGTGATTTTTTATATTTATTTTTATTAAATTATATAATAATTAATATATGAGAATCCGGGACTAGTGGTGTATTAATAATTACTTTTTTGAAGTTATGCACACTGATAAAATATTTAATATGATTTAACAAATCATCTATATCTATGAGGGAGTCGATATTATTAGAAATAGATAAATAATATAAAACAAATATATGGAGGAATAGGATTATATCCACTCTACCTCAACTCCCAGCTTATATATACTGTTGTATATGGCAGCAACTCTTATTTTTCTCTTCTTTTCTTCACTTTACTCTCTATACTCTCTCCTTATATATACTGTTGTATATGGCAGCAGCTCTTATTTTTCTCTTTTTTTCTTCACTTTACTCTCTATACTCTCTCTCATTTTGCTCTCAAATAATATTTCTATTTATAAGTATGAATGGTAAGGCAACTTGACCATAAATTATGATATTAATGGTGGCAACACATAAGTTGTATTATTTTATTAATGGTTGGTGCAATCATTATTGTAGTCTTTTAATAATAACAATCCTATTTTTTAGGGTAGGTTGCTGAAGATGTTACCTATTAATGATAATATTCCAACAATTAAAACAAATATTTATAAAATTTATAAGAATTTAAATTTTATAGAAAAATTAATTTTTTATCACATTTATCTTTTTTTATTAATGTATTTTTTTATAAAAATATTTTTTTTATAGGAAAGTAGGTTTTTTAAGGGAAAACATAAAGCGACCAAAATAAACATTTATAGGAATTTAAATGAATATTCTTTAGCCAAAATCCTTCATTCTTATTCATGCCTTTTTCTTGTTAGAAGAATGATTTTTTATATAAAAATTTAACAAAATCGAAAAAGAAAATTTCAAAAAAAAATAAAAAATAAAAAATCAAAATCAATAAACGTCAAATCCTAATCTATTTTTTTCTAGCACGATTAAAGTCCTGTACAGTCTCCATCAAGCTGCCCTCGTCAAAACAAACTTGTATACGCCACCATCGATTGAATCGAAAGCTAAGTTGAGATAATAAAAAGATAACCGAGAAGTAAAGGTTTTCTTGGAATTATAGTGACGAAGTAAGTGTGGTGGGGTCGAAATGGTGGTGGGATTGGGACCCATCCCACAGTAATACACATTATTCATGAAATAATTCTTTATTTTTTTATGTTTGTACATGATTAATATTAAAAATAAAAAAATATTATTTTAATATATTTTCAAATAAAAACCTTACTATAAAATTAACCAAACCGCATACCAAATTAAATCACCACAAAATGATCCCTTAAATCATTAAAGTAATTGAAGCATACCAATTAAATCACCACAAAATGATCCCTTAAAAATGAAGTCGTTTGTTTATTTTTTTTAACTTTGAAAAACTTTCAAGTATGATTGGAGTTGTATTTTAATTTTTTTAATAAAAAATTAAATTTTTTGTTTAAATTTGTTTTTTTTAATATTATGACATACGGTAATATTAAAAAATAAAATAAAATATTATTTTAATAAATAAAAAAAGACACTTGGTATAACAAAAATCCTTCTGCCTCCTTCAAAGTTCCCACACATTGTCATTGATTGACCGTTGACTTTGACACCCCCCACCACCCTCCTCTCCTTTCCTCCTTCACTCCTCAATCCAAAGCATTCGAATCCCCATCTGGCTTTTCCCCTCCAAACCAATATCTCAAATGGGTCGCCGCCAAAACGACTCTGAACCATCCCGTTTCATCTCTCTCACCTTCCTCTTGGCGGGTTTTATTTCTTGTGCTTTAGTCTACACTGTTCTCTCCGTAGCTCTCAATTCTAATACAAATTCTAAAGGTTCAAACTTCGAGCCTTTGACATTGGCAGAGGAGAGTAATGATGGTGGGTGTTGCAGAGGGATTGAGAAGTTGGAGCTTTGGGGAGGTGCAGTGAAGTGGGGGTCGGATCATAAGTTCAATTCTTCTAAGGAGTGTTGTCAGGCTTGTAAGGCTATGTGCACTGGTACTGATGGGCCTTGCTTGTGTGATACTTGGGTGTTTTGTGGCAATAAAAAGGCTTGTGGGTCTAAATTTGGGGAGGTCAGATTGAAATTTTGGTTCCGTTTTCACTTTTAAATGTTTTTGCTGGAATTTTTATTGTTATTTTGAATTACATGGTTGAAATGTTGGATTGATTGATGGACAAGAATGAATCTTATTTCTTCATGGAATTTGATTCTGAGAACAGATAATTAAACGATGCTGTGATCATGCCCTTTCAAACCCTGGATTGATCATTGACTTAATTCAATGATCTGATTTAGATATTGAACTGATAAATTAAGCCGATCTATAAAGAACAAGTTAGATAATTCTGAGTTAGCAGCTCCAAGGCCTCTCAAACCCTGTTTCTTTACTCAATTCTTTTTTCTTTGCACTTTTGATGATTGAGTCTGCGGTGGTGTTGCTTGTAGTTATTTGAATGAAATGCTAAAGTTTCAATGATGATGATAAGAATCTCTTTACTTTGACTTGCTTCATTTCTCCAGTGTTGGCTGAAGAAACAAAAGGATATACTTTCCCCTGATCGACAGGAAGCAGGGGACCATGTTATTTGGACTTCTGGGCTTATCTTTGGAAAAGGAGAGGTATTTCAGTTTGGTGAAATTTGATTCCGTTTTATGAAACAGAATATGTAGCCAACATGCAGTACGCACTCTTCAATTTGATACCGTTGCTGTCTTAAGTATTTAGAGTTACGATCACAAAGATCATGGCGGAATTTTGTCATTGGACATCTATCTTTTACCAACACCCTGTTGAACAACTGAAAGATATGTTTGGCATTTCCTTTTGCATGATCTCTATGCGGAAAGATTGTTTACCTGTTATCAGGCTTCATGGTATTCTTAAGGTGCATTGCTTTTGGGGAGACTTTACACTGAATTTTTGACAACCGGTCTCTCTTGTAGTCAGATGCTTGTTCTTTTGCGCCTGGAATGCATATAGAAACAAGTACTAAGTTTGAGTACTAAAGTTTCTGTAGCTTGATGTTTGTGCTCTTTGAGCGCTGAAGTTTTTTTTTGTTCTTTTGCCCGCTGAAGTTGGTATGAAACTATGACATGTCTCTGTATTTTAAGATTATAAAAAATCGCTGTGGTGATTATCATTTGGCCTACCAAGAAATTTGATGCTGCTACTTTCCTCTCTGTTTTATACGATTGTCATTGCTGCAGGTCCCACCTTAATTTTAACATCTCCTCTATTAATGTTCTTGCTTATTTCAGGGCATTGTTGGCCTGGAAACAGAATATGGCACTCTTCATATAAAAGTAAGTGATCATTCTTTTGGCACTTCGGTGTTCCAAATGCCTCGGACAAGTTAATTGTGATACACTCCACTCATGGAGTTGATCTTTTCCTTCAGATTCTTCGATTTTATGAACCTCTATTTAACAGTTGTTGGACAAAAACTTGCTTGGTGCAGCTCTTCCCAGACTGTGCGCCCTATTCTGTAGCCTACATTCTTGAGCTGCTCACACTACGTCATTGTGCTGGGTGCCAATTTTATCGTGCAGAGGGCCGAGGTCAGTTGTGGGATTCAGAAGGAAATCACATAAAAAAGGTAAGCTCATCAACTGTCATGCGAGTTCTCTTCTTTGCCCTGTAATAAGAATTGTGACGAGTGGTAGTTTCACCTAGGGAGTATCATATTTCCATCGCATGTTGTTATTTATAAAGATTTCATGCATTTTTGCCAAGGGGTTTCATGATTTCAATCCTTCATTGCTCGTATTCCCAGGCTCCTTTTGGGCCTCCTTTTGCAATAATTCAAGGGACATTAGAAGCTCAAGGAACAACATTCAAGAAAATTCCAACTGAGGAGTGCCCATACATAAGAAGGGGTTCAGTGGCCTGGGTTGGCTCTGGTCCAGAGTTCTTCATTAGCCTAGCTGATCACCAAGAATGGAAGAAAGCATACACTGTCTTCGGTTCTGTTCTTCCAGAAGACATGGAAATTGCAGAGAAAATTGCGCAGCTCCCCACCATATCGGATGTATGGAACAATATTAACGTGTCTGTCTTGGAAAAGCCAGTTCCCTTGTTGGTGCAAAGACTCAACGGCTGGGGAAATCTTAACACAGATGTGAAATCAGATTAAAAATGTTTCTACTTGGCCAGGCCATGAATGCTTTTTGTTACAATTACGAGAGAAGCTCACATTGTAATGTAGCCGTGTAATTTTTTATTATATTTTTAGTTTGATCGTCGGATTATTTTTCTTTTTTATTGCATATTTTTATGACCAATTTAATGTCCAATTTCTTCTAATTTCTTAAGAAAGAGTAAAATTCAAAAACATGGGAAACTAATTGATTATTAACAAAGTAGTGCGAAAAAGTTATCTATCTATTTTCCTATGAATTTCTTTTCACTCTCATTAGTTTTCTGAGTTTTAGTTTTTGTATAAAACATTTTTCTTAATTTTCAAATCCTTGTATTTGATAAATGAGAGAGAGTTGTTGAAAAACAATGATAACGTAGAAAGTTAAGATATAAATATAACTTAAGATATTTAATTTTTTATTATAAAAAGTTAGTATAAAAAAGCAATTGTTAATGCTAAAAAAACTGCAATAATTGTACATGAAAACAATTTAAAAAATAAATAATACCTAAAGAAATAATATTGTAAGTATAATTTTTTAAATATAAAATCAAAGAAATTTTTTTTAAAAAAAAGCTTTATATATATAAAAAAAAAAAAAAACAAGCGAAGTGCCTCGGCTCAAGTGCACCATCTATTACCCCGAACACAGAGAAAACCATATGCGTGGGCCCTTCAGTGGGCCCCTGCAAGGAGAGGCTCACTCACCTAGCCATCTTGTTTTTTTTTTTTAAAAAAAAAATAATAATTAGGCGGATGATGACATGCATGGGATTTAAAAAAACCATTTTAATCGTTTTTTCACCTTAAAACAAGAAAAACACCACATACTCCTCATTGAACCATTTTCTTACCTCAAATTAGCTTTTAATCATGCAAAAATTAAAAAAATAAACTAAGGCCCAATCTCCTCTTCTTAGCAAGATACGGGTCAAGACGACTTACCAAGCAGCTTGTAGCTCAATGGTGTAAGGCGCTGCTTGTCTTCTTTCGAACTTCGGTTCGAGTCCTAGTGACAGTGGGACTGGCGAGTGGTTTCTTTCTTATGTCTGTTGGCTCCTCTCTGTGTGATACGCCTGTCACCCCCGCGGTGCCTTACCTGTTCACTGGGCTTGCAGGATGTTCAGTGAACCGTGGGATTAGTCATTGTGCGCGTAAGCTGACCCGAATACCCACATTAATAATAAAAAAAAAGGTCAAGACGACTTTAATAAAACTTGTTTTTATTAAATAAAATTCATTAATATTAAAATAAAATTTTTATCATAAAAATATACACACCCGATCACTTTTACTTAAATATAAATAAAATAAAGTTTTCAATTAAAAATAGAGATATTAAAGCTAAAGGGTCAAATAAAAAGTCAATGAAGAATATGTGAATTAAATTGCATTTTCCTGTAGGAACATGAGATATGCCGTATTGATTTTTTCTTGACCTGGTTTATATTATTTTTTATCCCTAAAATAGTTAAAAAACACCACATATTTCCTTTGATAAACCTTTTTTTAGTCTCAAATAAACCTTTAATCATTCAAGGGAAAAAACACTTTAATAAAACTTATCTTTAACAAAATCAGTTTTTTTGTCATTAAAATATAACTATCTGACCATTTTCTTTTATTTTTTTAAATTTAAAATTTAAAATATAAATAAGATAAAGTTTTAGATCAAAACTAATAATACTAAAATTAAAGAGATCAAAGAAAAAATCAGAAGAATATGTAAACTAAATCACATTTTGAAATCTTATCAAAACCATTATTCCTCAATAATATATGAAAAAAAAATTATTAACTCACAAAACATCAAAACCAACATATAAAAATATAAAATTAAAAAAAAATTGATGATCAAAATGAAAAAAAAACAATCACAAATTAAAATTCACAATGAAACTATCACATGAAATGTTTTTTAAATTTTTTTAATTGTAATGGAATATATACGCCTCTTACCAATGAATTTTCCAAGAAAAAAAAAGTCAAAACTTTCTATAATTTTAAAAAGGATAAAAACACTAGAGACTTAAAACGCAGCCGTTTTGAAGTAAAACACTTCGAACTACCCTCCAATTCCAATCCACCGCCTATAAAATCCGTTTCCTCCCTCCTCACCTGCTCTTCCTCCTTCACGCCAGCAGCTCAAAGATGGTCCAATTCCACGAACACATAATAACAGACCTCTTAGAAGACCCCGCCGGCGGCCTCGTAATCCTTTCATCTGGTCTATCCCTCCCAAAACTCGTCTCCTCCCTCCTCTCCCTCCACTCACCTTCTCAAGGCACGCTTTTAATCTTCTCCCCTCCTCCCACCCTTAAATCCCTAATTCTCCACCACCACAACACAAACCAAAACCCCATCGAAATCACCGCCGATCTCCCTTCTCACCACCGCCTCTCCCTCTACTCCTCCGGCCAAATATGCTTCATCACTCCCCGTATCCTCATCGTCGACCTCCTCTCCAATAAAATCCCTACCTCCTCTCTCGCCGGGTTAATCATCCTCAACGCTCACTCCATCTCAGAAACCTCCACCGAAGCATTCATAGTTAGAATTTTAAAATCCTCTACTCAGAATAGAAATCAGAATAATAGTAATGTGTTTTATATCCGCGCTTTTAGTGATAGGCCACAGGCGATGGTGTCTGGTTTTTGTAAGACGGAGAGGTTAATGAAGTGTTTGTTCATAAAAAGATTGCATCTGTGGCCGAGGTTTCAGGTTTATGTGTCGCAGGAATTGGAGAAGGATCCGCCAGAGGTTGTGGATGTGAGGGTTCCGATGAGCAAGTACATGGTGGGGATACAGATGGCGATTTTGGAAGTTATGGATGCTTGTTTGAAAGAAATGAGAAAGAGTAATAAGGTTGACGTGGAAGATTTGACTGTTGAGAATGGGTTGTTCAAGTCTTTTGATGAGATCGTGAGGAGACAGTTGGATCCTATTTGGCATACCTTGGGGAAGAAAACTAAACAGCTCGTTTCGGATTTGAAGACATTGAGGAAGTTGCTGGATTACCTTGTTAGGTATTCTTTTTTGTGTTCTACCATAATGTATTATCTCATTGTTGTGTAAAATTTATGTATTTATTTATTTAAAAGTGTTGGTTGATTTGTGGTTTTAGGGTTTAGTTTGATATGGAAGTTTGGTTAGGTGAATGAGATTCGATTGGTTAATGGAGTTTTTAGGCTAGTTTTATATGCAGGTTAAAGTTCTCAAATTTTGAACTGATGTCCGGGTTAGCCTTTTTGGGTATGTTCTATTTGAGAATTTTCAATGAAATGCTGGGTAAATTCTTTTTTGTTCTTGTAGGTTCTAGTAATGTAACTTGGGCTCATAAAATTTTGGACTGATTTTGATGAGTTATTGTGCAGGTATGATGCAGTAAGTTATTTGAAGTACTTGGATACGCTTAGGGTGTCACAGAGTCTTCAGTCTGTTTGGATATTTGCAGAACCCAGCTATAAGATATTTGATTATGCAAAGAAGCGTGTATTCCGTTTGACAAGATCAAGTAATGTGAAATTAAATGAGCAGAGTAAGAACAAAGTAGGAAAAAAGAGAAAATTAAAGGGTGATGACAGTAACGAGGGAGAAGGTGAAGTTTCATTATTGTTTTCTTCTTTCTTTTAACCAAGCACCTCTACGGCATTAGTTTTGATAATTTCTCATTCGGAAATTTTCCTAGCAGCTGATGGTACTTCGTCCTCAACTACAAGTAGTGGGGTTGTGTTGGAGGAAGTTCTGGAGGAGGCACCAAAATGGAAGGTGTTACGTGTGAGTGAGTGAGTTCCATTTTCTATGCTGTCTTATGGTTGTATTGTAAGCACAATTGAATAAATTTATTGAAAATTTGGTTGTAACTTTTCACATCTAACCAACTGATGCATCTTGGAAAGAAAATTTGTCTCTGATTCAGCTTCGTTTTTGCACTTCTGTCATAATTTTCTCTGGCTCTACCAGTGCCTGTTGTTGTTTTGAGCATATTCGTTAATTTTGGATTTACCAGTCTTAAGTTTAGATGTGACACTTTTACTACAGGAGATACTACAGGAGATAGGGGAAGAAAGACAAAGGGTTGAAAGTGGAGAAGAAGATCAGGTTGAAAGTGAAGGTGTTGATAATGGCATTGTTCTGGTGGCATGCAAAGATGAATGCTCATGCATGCAGCTTGAAGATTGCATCATGCACAGCCCTCGAAAGGTTGTTTGATATTTTTTTAGTTTTGTTTTCTTATTCTATCTTTTATCTTGATCATATGTTGAAGTGCTTCGCAGAGTAGAGGCCAAAGCACGTGCATGCACTTTGTTCCAATCTGTTGCAAGGGCTTGTGCCCCATGTGAGCGCTACCTGTTTTGTCCCTAGTGAAGCTCTTGCCTGCTTGTAGCTCTTCACTGCATAGTTCCTTTCCAGTCTAGAAGTTCAATTTTTATTTTTTTCTGGTGGAGTTATATGTAGTTTTCATCTGTGGTCCCAAGGATAGGATGTAAAGTGAAGGGTTATCTTCCCTTAGCAAAGCTCAATGTCTCTTTGAAAGCTGTAGGCAATTATCTATTTCAATTTGGTGAAAAGTGCATTTAGTGATGTTTTCTCCTTGGTGTTGTCTGGATGAGTATGCTAAATGTGACTAGTTGATAGTATATTTTTCTTATGAAGGTGTTGCAAGAAGAATGGAAGAAGTACTTGTTGAGCAAAGTTGAGCTAGGTGGCTTGCCAGCACCTGAGAAAAAGAAAGCAAAACTAAAGCCAAAGGAGCCCAAAGGATTTGGAATTCTTGACGGAGTTGTTCCTGTAACGACTATGCAAAGTGCGGAAGCTAGCAGCACAAACAAGCAGGAACATGATGTTTTGTTGGCTGCAGCATCAAAAATAAGAAATCAGTATAAAAGGGGACTGGTTGTTGAAGATGAACTGCAGCCTCTTGCTGACAGCAGCAGGAAAGCTGCAAAAGAAAAGGGAAAAGAATGCAAGAAAAGAGGCCAAGCAAATGGTCAGGATTCTGGAAGCAAATATAATGACAGCAATATTGATATGGTGATAAAAGATTTGCCAGAAATATCTGGTTCAAAAAACAAAAGCCAGACAGTTGAAAATGATCAAGCTGCCATAGATGGTTATTATGAAGCAAATTTGCAGCAGGCATCAGTTGACAAAGGGGCTCTTCAGAGACATGCTGAAGAGCTAGGCCCTACAGGATCTCGAAATGCCAAGCCAATACCACCGGTGCACTTTCATGCTCTGGAAAGTGATCGGCCTATACTTGACATCTTAAAGCCTTCTGTAGTTATTGTTTATCATCCAGACATGACGTTTGTTCGGGAAATTGAAGTCTACAAAGCTGCAAATCCCTCAAAAAAGTTGAAGGTGTATTTTCTTTTCTATGAGGATTCTACTGAAGTCCAAAAGTTTGAGGCTAGTATTCGCAGGGAGAATGGAGCATTTGAATCTTTGATCAGGCAGAAATCACTGATGATGATTCCAGTTGATCAGGTACGGTCATTATAAATTGTATTTAAATATTTGCAATCAACAAATCCATTCATCTCTTTGAGAAAAAAAACCCTTAGGGATCCGTATTTACTTTCTGATATCTGATCAATATTAATTTCTAATTTTGCTCATGTGGATTTCACTTGGTTTTGGATCAGAATGGACATTGCTTAGGATTGAATGTTTCCATAGAGCCACTAGCTTCAAGTTATCAAAACTCAACCAGAAGGGCTGGTGGGAGAAGGGAAATTGAGAAAGAAATGCAGGTATGTGATAGCGTTTTGGGCATTCAGGATGAACTGTTTTTCTCTTCTCTGCTATGAAGTATGATATTGAGGAATTGCTTCATTTTCAGGTCATTGTAGACATGAGGGAGTTCATGAGTAGCCTCCCAAATGTTCTCCACCAGAAAGGAATGAGCATAATACCAGTTACATTGGAAGTTGGGGATTATGTTCTCTCGCCATCAATATGTGTAGAGAGGAAGAGTATCCAAGATCTTTTTACGAGCTTTACATCAGGCCGGCTTTACAACCAAGTGGAAACAATGGTGCGCTATTATCGAATACCTGTCCTTCTGATTGAGTTTTCACAAGATAAAAGCTTTTCATTTCAGGTAAACTAACTTCATCAGATGAAAGAGGTGGTTCTTAATCAGGCGTAATGCTGTGCTAGTTTGATTAATTGGATATAATTTTGCAGTCTGCAAGTGATATTGGTGATGATGTCACACCAAATAGTATTATATCCAAGCTGTCATTGCTTGCTCTACATTTTCCCCGCCTGCGAATCATCTGGTCACGCAGTTTACATGCTACAGCTGAAATATTTGCTTCGCTGAAGGCAAATCAGGATGAACCTGATGAGATGAAGGCAGTTAGAGTTGGTGTCCCGTCAGAGGATGGTATTGTGGAAAATGATGTCAGGTAAGATGCATACTGCCTCTTTTTGCATCCTTGATTTATAAGCTCTTAACATTGCATTTTGAACTATGATGCTTTGTGTGGGAAATGGGAGTTAAAAAAGTAAATCTTCGGTGGGGTGGATAAATCTGGTGTAGTCCAGGGACATGCTATTTGCAATGCTGTAATCAAGAAGGGACTTGATTGTTGAATTTTGCACGTGAATTTTCTTTTGGGGGGTTGGATCTACATTTTTCTTTTACTTGACTTGGTATGCATGCAAACATAACTAGGACAAAACGGTTCTTGTCATTGTGCTGTTTCTTCCCAAGGTTTTTTTATTATGATTTATACCCTTTATCCATTACAGAGCGGAGAACTACAATACATCTGCTGTGGAGTTTCTGAGACGGCTCCCGGGGGTCACAGATTCAAACTACAGGGCCATAATGGATGGATGTAAGAGTTTAGCAGAACTCACACTTCTTCCTGTAGAGAAGCTAGCTGAACTAATGGGTGGCCAGAAGGCTGCCATGACTCTCAGAGACTTCCTTTACGCAAAGTACCCGACCTTGTTATAATCTGGTTTCACATTACTTGATTGACACTTCACAGAAAATGTACCTAAATGTATTCATTGGAGAAATGATCCTGATCTGAGTGAATAACGGGATAGTAGGCCTGGCATAGCCATAGCTTTCCCATGCTGTATTTGCTTATCAATTCATCTCTATTTTTTCTTTTTCAATTTAACATTTAACATTCTGTTACTTCCATTACCTATCTACCTGTGTCCGCGAAGGTGAGTAAGGTTATTGGAAGACTATTGTATCCTAGACCATGGAATGGCTTCTCCGATTTTGGTTTTTGAGAGCAAAGCGAAGGAAGGCACTACGTCGACTCCGATTTTGGTTTTTGAGAGCAGGGTAAGGCACTACGTCGACTGGACCGGTCGAGATAGAGTAAAAGGGTTTATTTATTTATTTTTATTTAATGTTAAATTCTAAACATGGACAGGAGTTTCAAATCACACCAAACATATAAATGCATGAAAATCCAACTAAAATGATTTTTTTTAAAAAGACAAATTGAACTAGATCGAAATAGAACGATTGAGTGGGAGTTTGTTTCTTTTTTCTTTTTGTAAAAAAGAACCGAGCTATTCTGTATGTCTTGGCAGGTTAAGATGTAATAAACTTAAATTTTTTTTATAGCGTTTCTGACTTTCTTTCTTTTTTTTTTCTTTCAAAAAATTGGTTTACTTTCTCGATTTTTAAAATCTGAAATCAAAATTAATTTGAATAGAATTTGTTTTTTAAAAAATTCAATTTCATTTCTTAAATTGTTTTTATAATTAAATTAGATATTGATTTTTTTTAAAACTAATTTGGATTATTTAGTTATTTTGGTTACCCACTCAGATTAACAGAAACTCTAAACGGCGTGAGGATTGAAATGGCACAATAGAAACATTTTACTGAGACTCCCTGCTATGAGTGCTTCTTTTTTTTACTCGTCCCAAAACTTTTTTTTTATTTTGTGCTGTTTTTAGAGGACTAAATTGTAGGTCAGTTTAAGTTAATTTCTAATAAAATAATTAATTAAAGATAAGAAATTAAAATAAAAAAATAGAGAAAATTGATGGCTTTTTCAAACTTTAAAAATGTTTATTGGGTACCTCATCCTTTCTAAACTATAAATTATGAATCCCCTTTGATTTTCAAAATTTCAAACCAAAGTTAATTTTATTACATTTTTTTATTTTTTTAAATTTTAAATCAATAGTTCGAGAGAAATTCATTGAATTGTAATAGTAAATAGAGAAAATTAGCATTGATATTAATTCTAATTAATAAAATGGTTGATCTTCATGTTAATGACTTTTATTTAATAAAAAGAATTTCACTTAAATTTTTTTATTTTAAAATTGTCTAAAAAATATATTTAAACTCAGAAAAATTTCTAGTTTAGGGTTTTTGTACTTTCTTTTAAGGTTATTGATGAGTTTATCAAGATATCTAAGATATTTTTTAGATATATTTGAGTTAAAAATAGATTGAAAATTAATTTTTTTAGCAAAAAAACCTAAAACCTAATTTTTTTATGATCTAAATCACCAAAAAACTAGGCTAACGTATAAGATGATATTTGTTTTTTTTTTTTTTCAAATAAAAAGAGGAGAACATGTTATATACTAATGCTATTAATAAAAATAAAGTCTTAGGTATCATACCAAGCTTTTTTTTATGAGATTAGCGTATAAGCTAGATTTTTTATGGTTTAAGTATAGAAGTAAGTCCATGTGTCTTATTTATTTTTGTTTTATATATAATTTATTTTTATTTTTATTTTTTAAAAAATTATTATTTTATTTTAAAAAATATCTCATGTACTTGATCAGTATTTAATTAGATTATTTTAACCATAAATTTTACAAATTAACAGTGGTTAGCTTAAGTTTTTTTATGGTTTTTTGAATTAGATATTTTTAATTCAAACTTCATCATTTAATCATTTTTTTTTGTATTTGCTGAATTTAAAAAAAAAATCCGGCTCAATTGATCGACTGACCTATTCCATAGCACCATTTATCCATATATTTAAATAAAATAAAAGATTAATCGTATATGTTGATCCAAATAACTATGATTAAAAATATATAATAATAAAATGGGATTAGGCAGGCACGCACCCGCACCTAACCATTACTAACAGGGAATGATGACGCATAAATCTGATTTATTAAATAACAAAAATATCTTACAACCAAACAAACAAACAAACTGACGTGGCAAAACATTGACTCTTAAACATTATTATTACGGATTTGCCCCTTTCTTCTTTATATCAGCCACGGCACAGCCGATCTCTTTCCTTCACTTCTCGTCCCCCATCATCAAACAAAAAAAAAAAAGAAGGAAAATGGCACTCTCAACCACCCTCAGCACTGCAAGACCATCCATCTCCCCTCTCAAACCCCAAAACTTTACCTCGACAACCAGAAACCCTAACCTCAAACCCAAAACCACTTCTGTTTTTGCCTCCCTGCGCTCAACTCCAACATCAAAGCCCACAATCTCTTCCAACTGGGCCTTAGACAGCTGGAAATCTAAGCCAGCACGCCAGCTTCCTGATTACCCGGACCCGGTTGAACTGCACTCGGTGCTCCAGACCCTTACCAATTTCCCGCCAATTGTGTTCGCGGGCGAGGCTAGGAAGCTTGAGGAGAGAATTGCGAGTGCTGCTGTGGGAGGTGCCTTTTTATTGCAAGGTGGAGATTGTGCTGAGAGTTTTAAAGAGTTCAATGCCAATAATATTCGAGATACTTTTCGAGTTTTGCTCCAGATGGGTGTTGTTCTCACCTTTGGTGCTCAAATGCCCATCATCAAGGTCCCTTGTCTTAAAAGTTTTTTGTTTTTTTATTGTTGGAATTCTTTTTTGATCAAATGGGTGCTTAGGTTTTGCTGCTTTGTTTCTGACCTCTTGCTAGTTGTTACTCTTTATTTTTAGTTTGTTTGTTGATCATAGGGAAAATCTGCTTGGCTTGGTGAAGATGGAGCATTTGTGGTACTAACGTATTTGGGACGTTTTTTTGTTGACTTCATGACAGGTTGGTAGGATGGCAGGCCAATTTGCAAAACCTAGATCTGACCCCTTTGAGGAAAAAGATGGCGTGAAGCTACCGAGTTATCGAGGAGATAATATTAACGCCGATGCTTTTGATGAGAAATCTAGGACACCTGATCCTCAAAGGTTGATCAGAGCATACCTCCAATCTGTTGGCACCTTAAATCTCCTTAGAGCTTTTGCCACTGGTGGATATGCTGCTATGCAAAGAGTGTCACAATGGAATCTTGACTTTGTAGAACATAGTGAGCAAGGAGACAGGTAGTCCTGAGTTATTTCCTGGGTTTATAAGTTATTATCTGTTGGTTAGATTTTTCTTTACCCTCATAGCTAGTCTACAACTTAAGGAATATGTTTTTAACAATGGTATAGGGTCACAAGAACTAGGTCACGCATGATGTTGGTGATACCTCGTTCATTTTTCAACATATATAATTTTGTGACTATGCACAATAATGGCCAAAATAAAGAACTCCCAGCAGCTAGGTAGAATCCAATTTTAGAAGCATTTTCTGTTAATAAGATTTGTAAACTTGATTGGTTATCAACTGTAGTCACATTCTATTAGCCAACCAAATCTCCAAGAGTAAGATTGGCCATAAACACATTAACATTTGGAGTTCTTAATTGTAATTTAATAAATGTGCTTGTAACAGATTCATGGAACTTGCACGGAGAGTTGATGAAGCTCTTGGCTTCATGGCTGCTGCTGGCCTCACTATAGATCATCCTGTAATGAACACAACAGAGTTTTGGACCTCTCATGAGTGCCTTCATTTACCATATGAGCAGGCTCTAACCAGGGAGGACTCAACAACTGGCCTCTATTATGACTGTTCTGCTCACATGCTTTGGGTAGGTGAGAGGACCCGGCAGTTGGATGGAGCACATGTTGAATTCCTACGTGGTGTGTCCAATCCTCTTGGCATCAAGGTAATAATGGCTATTACAATCTCTTACTATTTGAGATGCAACCTAATACTCCCATACAATTTGTAATTATGATGTTCTTTGGTTGTAAATGGTCAAACAAACATGATTTTTGTGCGAGTGGTTTATCAGGCTTGTGGCAACTGTAGCACCTGCAATTATTCTTTGACGAGAACGATTATTTTGATTGCTGAGAAGACTTGAATTTTACCTCAAAACATAGGCTCACTTTTACTTAAAAATGTGAAAATTCGCTTGTCCATACCTTTAACCCTACTTGGAATTCAAACGTGACTTGAAGAAGTGAGGACACTTAATCGTAGGCTTCACTTTTTTATCCAGCTTTGTTTATGAGCAGTCTCTGGTTTTAATTATGAGTACTGAGGCCTGTTTTTGATTCCTCTGAAACCACTTTACTGCAAAAACATCTCTGGTTAAAGGTTTATGGATCAGGGCATTTGAATTGATAGAGTTCGCTCTTTATGTGTTTCACTTAGCTTGAATTCCGTAATAACTTTCTCTTCTTTTAGTTTTTATTTTAATCTCACTGCAACTTCCTTTTCTTGGTGTCCCCCTTTGTGGTTTCTTGATGCCTGGACTTGTCACGCAGGTGAGTGATAAGATGGATCCAAAGGAGCTTGTGAAATTGTGTGAAATTCTTAACCCGCACAACAGACCTGGAAGACTGACAATAATTACCAGAATGGGAGCGGACAACATGCGGATTAAACTCCCCCATCTGATAAGAGCTGTGCGCCAGGCTGGGCTTATAGTCACATGGGTCAGTGATCCCATGCATGGTAATACGATTAAAGCTCCATGTGGTCTCAAGACAAGGCCATTTGATTCAATCAGGGTAAGAAATGAACTCACCAAACTCGATACTTCGTAACTTCAAAATGAATTGTGTGCTCATGATGGTGTTTTAATGGGAGGTATATTTACTCGTCTCAGGCTGAGTTGAGGGCATTCTTTGATGTCCATGACCAAGAAGGTAGCTATCCTGGAGGAGTCCACTTAGAAATGACTGGGCAGAATGTAACGGAGTGTGTTGGGGGGTCAAAGACCATCACTTTTGATGACCTCAATTCCCGCTATCACACACATTGTGATCCGAGACTGAATGCGTCTCAGTCGCTGGAGCTGGCATTTGCCATATCAGAGAGGCTGAGGAAGAAAAGGTTAAGAGCTGGTGATGGTATCCTTAGCGGACACAACACTGGTTCTGTAGCGTAAGAAGCCTAGCCCCATGTTTTGATTTGGTGCAATTATATTAGCGTGTTATGTTTTCAGTCTTTCTGCATCTGTGAACGTAAAGACTTTCTGTGAGACAAATTTTGCATTCTCTACGAGGCACTGGACCCTTCCAAGTTGTAAAACTATACTTGTTTGCTCCTCCCTTGCTCTCGCACACGCACGCATTCCACCAGGCACACTCTAGGCAGGTTTGAGTTTCAAACAGTTGCAAAAAAGTAAGTAGTGCGGCGCAGAAGCTTTATCTGAAGCAGCAGGAACGGAAGGAAGCCAGCACTTAATTCACTTCAACTTGAAATATTTTGTTATGGTAGACAACGCTTTCTGGCAACCTTTAGTCACTAGAAAATCAGGCCAGAGGTTTTCAACCCTCATTAGAAAACACTTCAGTTTTCATCTATTTTTTTTTTAATATAATTGATTTGTCAAAATATTCTCTCTCTTTTTGCAATTTTTTAGTGAATTTCTACTCTCTCAAAATTCAATGATGGAAAAATAATTAAAATAAATTTTGAGAACCAAAATAGAAAATAAAAAAAATTAAGGGACAAGGTTGTGAGTAAACAAAAAACACGAGGGACACAAAAATGAGATTTGTCACGTAACTATAACACTACAATAACGTGAGTAGTGGTTTTGTCTCTCATTGCATAGTGAATTATAGTATTATTCTTTCAGCAGATTTTATAATATATTTATAACTGTGATTGCGATTATAATAATAATATAAAAAAACTACAAAGAAAAATACTGTGGGCATGGACTTAATTTACTATTCCTTGTTTATAATTACTTTTTTTTTTCCTTTAAAGAGAATCAATGGGCTTGCCTCCTTTAGGGTAATTTGATCTTTGTATATGGTCCATTTATCATTATAAAATTTATAAAATTGCTTAGAAACAATTTGGTGTTTTTATAGATTGGAACAGTGAAAAGATAATACTACCTTTAAAAAACAAATATAAATAAAATGTTGTTGAAGGGTAGTTTTGTCTTATAAATCTAGCTATTTTTATTATATTTATGTTGATTTAGAAACAATTCAATTAAAACAAAATATTTGTCCTTCTTAAAAAAGTTATTATTAATACATGCGGATCATTATGATGGTCAATATTGGACTTTTTTGGTATTGTTATATTCTTCTTGACATCTATTCTATTTTATGGTGATCTTTGTGATATTCTGACCTTCGGTTTGGTGTTAATAGACTTTTATTTTTCTTTTTTTATTTTATTGTTACCGCAGTTTTCATGTGTGACATTTTATAATTTCAAATAAGTCCTTTAATTTATTTTTATTTAGATTTGATTTAAATTTTTCTAAGTATTGCTATTTTATTTGAAATGGTTTATAGATTTGAAATTATTTTTCAATCTCATCATTTTTTATTTTTTTGTGTTAGATTTGATCACTATTCTTTTGACTTTTAATCATCTTGTTTTAAACAATTTTATGAATCTAATGTTTTTTATGATTTCACCCCTTCAATTTCTTTTCCTATATGATTTTATCCTCATGTTTTTTTTTTATATATATTTTTATTATGATTTCATCCTTCAACATTAAATTTATTGGAAATTAAACTTATTAATTAAATATGAGTTTAGGATTTCATAACTTGCGAGTTTAGAGATTTAACCTAAGTTTAGAAAATTCACACAAGTTTTCTTGTTTTATTTTTTAAGCTATTTTTTTTTAATTTTATCTTTCAATATTTATTTATTTTTCAGTTTCTTCCTTGTTCAACTTTTCATCTATTATATTTGTTCTTAATTTTATAGGTTAGCATGGGTTAATAAAATATATTTTTATTTTTTCGTTTTACTCCCTAAATTCTTTTTGTGATTTAATCCTTTGATAATATATTATTTCAACTATGTCAACATTTTTTTGTTTAAAAACAATATCATCATTTGAGTTATTTGAATAGGGTCATCAGTTCATTATTGACCTTTTAGGTTGAGCAAGTACCATTAACATTTTTATTATTTATTAACTTATATAATAATTGATTAATTTTATCTTATATAGTGGTCAAGGTTTATTTTCATTTTAAATATTTTATTACATGTAAAAAAATTAACGATACTTTGACATTTTAAATGTAGTAATTGGATCCGGCCTATAATGAATCATGGATCGTAGACCTAGTCATGTTACTATAGGACTACATTAACACGAATAATAATTTTGAGTTTGGTGCCATGATACGATTGTGGTTATAATAACTATAGCTAGGAAAAATTAAAATATTGAGTTTTGAAAAATTATAACTTGTATCCTATATTAACACAAATTTTTAAAATTATGGTTATATATAATACTCTTTATATCCTATAATTTGGTTGAAATTATTTTTATATATTGAATTTCGAAAAATTATAACTTGTATTCTATATCAATATAAAATTTCAAAATTAATAAAAAAACTAAACTACCCCATGTATATTATATGAGAAAATCACGGTCTCTCTCTCTCGCATTCTCCGTCTTTCCCTTTCCCCCCTCGCCAAACCCCAACCACGTTACTATTACATCACCTCACTGACAACCACCATCACCCAAGTCAATTCCACCCTAAAGCCACATCTCTCCTCCGCCACTCCACAACCATTCAAACCCTAGTCGATGCCACTGTCAACTCCTCATTTCTCTTCTTCACAATTTTGCAGATTATTTTGCATTTACTCGTTTTCTTTTAAGAATTCAACCAATTTTAAAAAGATAGTATCCCTTTGAAAATCTTGATGGGGTTGTGGAATTAAAGATCTAACAATGAATCAGGTCAAAAAGCTTGAACACGGTCAAATTCTTGACAGTAGCCTTTTATGATCTCTTACAAATGGCAAGCAACAATGACGTTCTTGACCTTGATTGTTTTGTGTAATGATCAGAATGCAAGATGGGGTGCAGCAAGACCCAGTACCATAAGCCATGCATGTTCTTAATTTTGTTAGAAGTGCTCGTGACGGTGTTGAAAAATTAGGGAGTTGTTCTCTCATCGAACAAAGAAGATGTCACTGACACCCAGGTAGAGGAAATGCAGACTACAAAAATTGGAGATAGAGCCAGTGATATCGTGGCGTGTGTTATCTGCAGTGGATAGATCGGGGCTGTTGGAAGATGAAGGTGACGACTGTAGTGTTGGTGGTGGTGTGGCTGTGTTAGGATTTAGAAAAGGGAGGAGGAGAAGAAGTTGATGGTGGTGGTAGAATTTTTTTATTTAAATTTAACGCTAAAGTTGTAATATTTAATATAAAAGGTTTTTTAGTTATTAAACAAAAAATTATATTATTTTATAAATAATTATACACATATATATTTTCTTTAACAAAATGCCAAGTGCTAGTACATTCCAAGACACAATATAATTTTTACCGGACCACGAGATTTTAGGACTAATTTTTTTTTTATATATATAACAATAATGAAACGTCATCGTAGTACAATAGTAACGTCCGGTGCTCCAAGGAAATGCGGTGGAAGTTTAATATGTTTTACAACTATAATTATAATCATAATAAGAATGCCATGCCACTGTAGCACAATAGCGGTTTCGATTAATGTGGTGTTATCAGCCCTCCTTCATTTGTTAATTTCAGGCCCAACTAACGGTCGCTATCCGGCCCAATTAGCTTTCCAACCACTTTTTAAGTGAACACACAGCACGACACCAGACACAGAAGCAGCGACCACCCCGTCTCCAACCCCAACGCTTCCGTACGCTCAGTGAGTAACGTAAGAAGTGGGAAGTAGGCGTGGGCGTGGGTAGTGGCGGAGTTGGTGCCAATTCCCTTGTTATTACTTACTACGATTGCCGACTAGTCTGTCTCACTGTGCGCACTTCACACTCACCCGCCCCCTCGCGCACGCTAGCATCATCTCCATCCCCACCCCCACCCATTCCCACTTCAGGCGGTTGCCCCCTCATAAACACTTCCTCCCTCCCTGTACCTCGCTATGTCTATTATAACAACAACAGAAGCCACCAATTTCCCATTCTCTCCTTCTCCTTTACTAACCCACGCCTCTCCTTTCCTCTCCTTGTCATCCTTCACACATCACCACAACCATGGAAACAACGCTTTCTTGTGCGACTCCCAAGCGTGTCCCGCCGCCATGCTGGACCCAAGACGAGTCACTTGCCCTAATCAAAGCTTACTGTGACAAATGGTACTCCGTCAACCGTGGCAACCTCCGCGCCGCCGACTGGGAGGCCGTCGCCGCAGCCGTTCCACCTAAATCGTCCCTCCAGTGTCGCCACAAGATCGAGAAGCTTCGGAAACGGTACCGTGTGGAAAAACAGAAGTGCCTTGAGTACCCAGGTCGGTTTTTCTCTTCTTGGGATTTGTTCCCTTTGTTAGATTCATTGGAAATTGGGTCTCTGGGGTCCAAAGTGGACCAAGAAATCGATAAAGGGCATGGTGTTGGAGATGGGTTTCGCGTGAAAACGTTAGGAGAGAGGTATTTGCTGACTTCTCAACAGAATGGGAAAACCAATGGGGATTTGGACCCAGATGAGGATTTCGGTTTGGACCCAGATCTTGCTTTTCGGGCTACGAAATATAGCAAGGTTCACGGGGGCTTTAATGTTCATGGTGATTATGGAAGTGGGTTTGGTTTTAAATCTGTCGCTAATAAGAACTTGGTATCTGTTGCATTTAGACCCAAAGATTATGTTGGCTTTAAAGGGAATTTAACGGCTAATGTTGGTTTAAATTGTGATAATGGAGGTGAGTTTGGTTATAAAGTAGAAAAAACACAGGGGGATAGGAAAGTTACGCCCCAGGGAGTTAGATTGCCGGATTACAAAATGATTGCTAACAATTATGGCTCGTATGCTAGGGATTTTACTAAAGTTGTCCATAGCTATGGAGGGTTTCCGTTGAAGTTCTTGGGTGATGGAAATTTGGCGTTTCACGGGCTCAACCCGAAGAATTATAACACGATTGACGGGAAGCCCCCTCCTGATTTTTGTGATGATGATGATTACGTGGAGATTGACTGCAGAAATGATAAGAGAGATGAATTTGGCAAAAAAGTTACTAATGGCTGGAGTCACTCACGTACAGGGTTTAGGCCAAAGAATTGTGGCGCTATTGATGGGAACTCGATGTCCAATGCTCGATCTAGGGCCGTGAATGGGTCTGTGAATGTTGGGATGAATGGCATTGGTGATGGAGTTAAAAGAGAGACGGATCCGATTTCTTTGTTGGTGTCAGCAATTGAGCAGGCTACAGAGAGTTTTGTGAAGGTGGAGATGATGAAAATGGACATGGCCTCAGAGATTGAGAAAATGAGGATGGAAATGGGGTTGAAGCATAACCAGATGATACTTGAATCGCAGCAACGGATTGTGGATACACTTGCGAAAGCAATGCTGGAAAAGAAGAAGGAAAGGGAGAAAGTGGAGGTGCTGCCACCTAATTCAAGCAGAAACGGATATTCTCGGGTTCCTGCAGTGGATTTTGAAAGGATCGGTAAAAGCATCGTAAAAGAAGGCGAAGCTTGTTTTACCTGACTTTCAGATCAAGCGCAAGTCGTTGTTGTTTTTGTTTCCTGTTATTCTAGGATGAATCATTCTTTTGTTACAAAGTAATGTTTGCAATGATCCCATTCTCATCTGTAAATATTCTGCTACAGGATGCTAGATATTCTTTTAATCTCAATGAATGGTGCATCTGGTGGGTTTTTTTCTAGCTGCTGAGCACATCGATCACCTTGTTCTTACTGTTCTGATCGTGACAATCGTAAGAAAATGGAAGTGAATGATGGCTATAAAATCATATATTGAAACAAAGAAGAGCGGGTTGTGTGCCAGTGGTGGGCCAACGGTAGTTGGCTCGGTCAGACCAAACAGAGACGAGGACGAGGGCTTGGATTTAAGGGTTCAAATGAGGTTAAATTGCTTGTTATAATTATAGTTTATTTATTTATTTACGGGGATATCCATATTAATTTATATATATCATAATTATTATAATTAATTTCATGGTTCACTAAATATGTGTATTAAATATGTGTATGTATCATAATTAATTTTACAGTTCACTAAATATTTTATAAGTTCAATGAGTATATAAAATATTATGAGAATGATAGATATGCACAATAAAACTTAAACCTAAATATTAAAAAAGGGAACGAACATTTATTTCATAGAAATTTTATCTTTGAATTTAATTATGTTTTTGTGGTAAATTAGATGACCAAGGTGACTGATGGGGGTAATAAGAGCTTACTAAGAGTCGGTTATATATATAGTTTAATTTTATTGGTTGACTCAACCACAAGTACTTTCTATTGGTTGGTTTGTATGTAACTTAATATCGGTTAGGAATGAACATTGTTTGATACCCCGAATATAAAACTTCATATTATAAATTAATCCAATTATTTTAAAAAGTTCATTTGAACTCCAAACTTGTAATTAAGCCATAAAAAAAATTCATAATTCGCATCCAAAACTATATAAAATAAAATAAAATAAAATAACATAAAGAAGACCATGTAAAAAGTGATATTCATTCTATTTACAAGCGCGAATACCGAATGCCCCTAGCAATGAGTGGATACCAATATTAATGTTTATCTTAAGAAAATCCAGAAAAGTTTTTCGGTTATCCAAGGCTCCATTATAGTGTTATTAAGCTATTCTCCTAGCCACCTTTGGGTGTTGCTCGTTTTAAAACCCATGCCAAGTCGCGGATGGGATTCTTAAATTATTTTTAATATAGTATAATAATAAATAATGTTATGAATGTGTTTTATTTTATCATTTTGAAATTTAGAAAAACATAGATATATTTATGCTTAATAAAATAAATTTAATAATAATTGAATCCATTAACTACATTAATATACATAGCACCCAGTACTTTTCTTTTGAATTTATGCATTTTTATTTTTTATTTATTTTAGAGGTTGTTTTTTCTCATCAAGAACAAAAGTGTTTTTTTAAACAATACATCATAGAAATACAATTTATTTATATAAAATATAAAGAAAAAAATAAAAATCACAGTAATATTTTGAAACATTATAAAATATATAAAAAATGAATTTTATTTAAAAAATGATAAACAAAAAAATAAAATAAAATCAGAGAAAGAGTAATAAATCTAAACTAAGATAAATAATTAATGTAAAATAAAATATACATACAAAAGAGGGAGGGTATTAATTAAAAAATTTACAAAAAATAATAAAAAAATAAAGAGAAACTAGGCCCATGCACTTTGCCCAATACTCAAGCCTAGACGCACTTGCCTCTAAACCTAGGTCCACACAAGTGAGTTTATTCTTTTTTTATAATATTTGATTTTAAAAAAAAAATAATACAAATGACATGTTGTTTTCCATATCAAATTCTGACAATATAGGGTAAGGCTAAAAAATAAAATTGAGGTATTTGTAGGTATAAAATTTTATTTTTAATCTGTTTCAATGCAAAAATTTAAGAAATATTTTAGAAACCTCTACAAACCAATTTTTTAACGTAAAGCACGGTATAAAAATATAAAATTAAACTGAAAAAGAATTCTCTTTTAAGCATGATATACATTCTTAAATAAGATGAAAGTGAGAAACTATTGTTATTAAAATTTTTTCACTGAATGAAACACCTTGATACCAAATTTTTTGAACTTAAAGAATAAAAAATAAATAAAATAAACTTTAAAATAAAATAAAAATGGTAACAAAACTCAGGATTAGCCAAGCCTTTGCTCCTTGTTTCACACGTCATTTCTCTTTCTTTTAATTAGGTACGTTCAGTCCTAATTTTATATAATTAGACTATAAAAGAACTCAATGGAAAGGGAAAAAATTGAAAAGAAAAGTACCAGATAATTCATATGAAACCCTAAATCTTTTAGAAATTTAGTTAATAAGATTTAATACCTAATTAACAAATGAACAATTATGATGATGAACCTGCTCCCCTGCATTAGAGGAGGAAGGGGAAAATCAAGATAGATATTATCATATCATGTCATGTCATGCCTTCCTCTTTTCTTTTCTTTTTTTCCGCCACACGCATGCTGTTCTTGGCTTTGCTTTTGCACTCTGCATGCTATTAAAGTACCTTTTATAATATGATTAATTAACCATATATGCATCTCCATTGCAACTGGGAAAATACTCACGAGAACTTCGATTATTAATCTTGAATTTAAATGTAGTAACTCTAATTAATTACCAAAATAATTCCTTATATTCTCAAGGCATGCATGCGCCCTTATTTTATTTTATTTTATTTTACAGTTAGATCATATCTTCGAACTGGGTTTTTCTTCACGCATTGATTTTTTTTTTAATGTAATCTAATTGTCAAGTATAATTAATGAGAAATTATCATGCAGACATAGTTTATCATTTAGTCATGAAAAAAGTCAAGCAGAGACTATTATGATATAGCATTTCACAGGATTTTATCTGTATATCTTAATTATATATATTTATTGGCTTGATTAATCCATGATCAATGATATAATAGATTAAATATCTACCTAACAATCTCTCCAATTATCCATGTTAAAACTAAAGAAAATCATGAAAACTACACTCCTCCTTTTAACTATAGCTCTAAGCTGTGGATCTTGCAGGTTAACAGAAGAAGGGAATGAGTGTGTGTGTGTGTGTATCCTTAATTAATCATGAAGCGAGAAACCCTAGATTAACTATAGGTTAGGCTTTGCAGGTTCCGTTGTGGAAGCAAGCTAATCATGTCTCCATTATGAACAGGATACTAATTAAAAGACGTCAAGTCTTGTCATATTGGATGAAGTAGCTGCTAGTACATGACAAAAATGGAAGAATGCTGGCTTATACTTTTCCGAGAGGTTGTAAAATATTGTATTATTCAAAATGATCTCATTCATCCCCTCCACTCCTCAAAGGAGCATGTTCTTTCAAATATATGATGGTTGCATCACCATGACAAGTAGAACAATAAAGCGAAAGTGCTCAACCACATAAACATGAAGCTATGTGAAAATCTCACTGCCATACTTGTATCTTACAAGTGTTGAAGTAAACTCAATCTAGAAAATCAAGGAAGGCAGCCACCAGCTGTCACCGCCCAGCCACCAACCGATCAGCCGCCAACCGCCAGCCACCGGCCGCCGGCCGCCTTCACACCGTCGACCAAAAACCACCCTCACACTTGAAGGC